CTCTAGTTTCTATGTAAAAATTAATGTGTTATGGCCATTAATATTTTGCAGTATGTCTTCTTATTAGTTGATTTATTTGTAATTAGATATTAAATAATGATTTTAATGTAAAAAAATAAAACAAAAACTAACATTTATATCATTTTTAAACTCTGCACTTTTATCTAAAAAATCTTATATAATGGGACAGAGGGAGTATTTAATAAATAGTAGTATTTGCAAAAAAAATTAACTGAGCATATTGACTGATTAATCAGCCGTTTAAGCATTAATTGTCGCTCAAAATTCAGCTGTTATTTTACCAATTTGATCAAAATCGCTGCATTTGAATACTTTCAACCTACCTATTCGATCAAAATCTCAACATTTGAATAATTTCCATCCCCTAAACAACCAATTTTAAAAATCTTGCTCTTATAATCCTTAAAAATGGAAAATTAAACCACTTTTTCTAAATCATAGCAACCAGCTATACGAAAACTGACAGCTTATCCGTTTTTTCCTAAACCGGCAAAATTTTCATATCTATTCTTCCCATTTGTTGTTTGTTAGTTTGTCGATTACTCCAATATGTTTATTATCTTTTTAAAATGTCAGTCTTGAGCAACTCTATTTTTATTTATATAAAAAACTACCTTATGTTTTTACATAAACAGTTTATAACCTTGTGATCAGAGCTTGCATGTATAATTTAAGTTGAAATTGCCTTCAAAGTTTCCAACACTAAAAGGATGTGACAAATCTAAAGAGATAAGTAACATATATGTTGTTAACTAGGGTTTAAGGTATACGTACCTTTAGGATTCTGAGAAGCAGAAGCAGACCAACTCAGCTCATCTGAAGAAAAATCCATCAGATCAAGGCAATCGGAAACCGCATTTTGCAACCGCCGATCGCCACTAAAATCCGCAAACTGGGACAGAATCGAACTCACTTGTCTTATTACTTCCACTATTGTGTTTATGGAGCTCACAAACTCACTTGCCGGAACTTTCAAGTACTCGTATGGCAATCTCTCCTCCGATGACACACTTAGACACAACATCAAGAAGGTCAAGAAACCCTTCCTCCATGACATTATTCTCTTTTTTTTTTTCTGTAATATAATTATGTCTTGGTTTCTTGCAATAATAAATTAAAATAATTAGAAAAGAGAAGGAAAGTTTTGGATTATTTGTTGATGATATTGAAGTTCTTCTGAGTCAGTGGAACCTATAAAAGAAGGAGAGGCATTAAATTCCACCCACCTTTATGTCTACTTCCAAACAGTTAGTCTACTTAAAAATCTTTAATTGGGGACTTAACTTCATTATCCCAACAAACATTTCGTTTCCTCTTCCTCGTTGATATTTCTTTTATAATATTGATGACATCTCTTAATTATATAACTCAACCGTCCCACACATTCAATTACATTCTCAAGATTCGGTCGTAGTAGTACTATATGCAGCTGTTTCACATAATCCACCGTCATATCAATCATATATTCCACCTGTTTTATTTTTAAGTTATATTTTTACTGAATGTATACGTATTACTTTATACTAATGATGATGATTAGAACAACAATTAACAAATCATTATTGTTATTGTGAGGTCAAATTGAAAAAAAAAAACAAATGCATTAGTTGACAATGGTTTCCACAATATTTAGATGTACATTATATCTCTTCTACCATCTACTCCGTAGGAAGAAAATACATCAGAATTAGCTATGGGAAGAAAATACATTGTGCTTATTGTTGTGGACTTAGAATATATGCTACTTAATTTAATCATTTCAGGGTGTAAATGTTCGTTATGTGGCATATATGGTAAAGATATGCTAGAGAATTCCTTAGACGACTTAGACAACCTGTTAAGTTATCTAGCCCATCGAGTATGCGCTACGTTTACTAAACGTTTTGATTAACGCGGTTACACGACCGTAAATTAGTACGTAGAATCTTTGTAGCCAAAAAAATTAGTACGTAGAATCTTATATTATGTTTGATCTTGCACAAGAAAAAAAACTTAACGTACACTGATGATGAGAAGAAGGTAAAAACATAGGTAGCGAAGCGGGGTGAAAAAAAACTCGCAACTCATAAGAAGGATTGAAGGAAAAGGAAGACAAGTGAAGAGGTCGAAGAGAGTCAATGTGACCTTATCACAAAGAAGAAACGACCATTGGGCCATGAAGAAAGACAAGCCCATTTTTAATGTGGGTTTCGTTGGAAGTTTATGGAGATAAAATGGGAGAAACAAGGTCCAAGATGGTACAAAGTTAGACAGTGATGTTAAAAAAAAACCTATAATATCTAATAATCAAATGATAAGGGTTCAGGAAACAATATTTGCCCTCCATAAAACCCTATAAACAATATTTTTAGAAAAACAAAAAAAAAAAGAAACATTGTACATAGTGTTTTGTGTATGTTTTACTTTAATTTTTTACTTTAGTAGTAAGTGAAATGATATAGACAAAAAGACACAAATATCATGACCATCATTTTATTTACTTGGATCAACAAACAATACCATGTAAAAGTAAAAAAAAAAAATTTTAAATCTAAAACTAATTGGTTACTATTATGGATAATGATTATCTATAATAGTAATATTTAAATAAATTATTTTGTAGTTAAATTACTTAAGCCGACTTATTTAAACAAAGACACTTGTGTATAGTCATAGACTTTAACTGCTTATATAAAGACACTTGTGTATTACAAAAATGAAAATAAGGTGAACGCTTCTCTCTCTTTCGTTTATAGACAAAACACATAAAAAATCTCACGTTGTTATATAATTTATAACACGTTATCAGCACGACCGTCTCTATGTCATTTCATACTGAAAGGGTAAGATTTTAATTTATGTGCTATTCAATCTAAATTTAAATTTATGTATTATTTACAGAGTGATAGGTTCGCCTCCTCCCGATATTATGGAAGGTTCTGCCTCCTGGAAAAACCATATAATAGGCTATGTCTTTTCCGAATAAATCATTATTATGGTAGACACTGCCTCCTTGATCAATTTAAAATTTTATGTCTCCATAATCTCATGGTAGGCTCTGCCTCCTTGATTATGTAGAAGACTATGACTATTGA